TGTATACCTTTAAAAATATGGTTTTTAGTCATTTTGAGCCCTTTTGATACAGAAAAAGTGCCCAAATATTTTTGACCACGTTTTAGTTTAAAATACCTGTCTGTGCGACAGTGCAATTTTTGTGTTCAAGTAAATGGTGAACACTGAACAATTATTATAAAAAAAGTATTATTAATTATATTTATTTATTTGATTAAACAGAATTTCCAAAACCGTTTTTTTCTTTTTTTATGTCCCTTACTACCCCTGAAAGTTTGTCCATATGTTTTCAATACACCCTGTATATTGGCCAGCCACATAATTTAATAGTAGAAATTTAATAAACAAAATTTTGTTGTTTATCTTAAAAATTTTAACTTTGCTTTTTTAAAATTTTTAAAGTACACAATATTTTTACCATACGAAAAAGCTGCTTAGTATCATAAAAACAATTTTCTATTGGATTCTTCATTTCAAAACAAAAATTGGGATAAGGACACTCCAACGAATCAATTCTGAACAACTGTTTCTCTTATTATAGCAAATTATTACTACGCATCCTGTGAAGGACCACTTATTTTTTAAATTGGTTGTTACGTTAGGTGTATTCGACTAGAGTAATATAATAATTACATACTACATATTACAAACTACGTATTATAATAACCAGTTTTTTTTAGTATTTATAATAATATTTGTAATTTGTAATATTGTAATAATATTTTTATTTCCAACTCAAAATAATTAATATATTGTACAATTGTCTGAATATTAGCAAATTACAAAATTAAATTAAATTTTAAATATTTAAAATATTGTAATTTACAATAATTTATTTTGTCCCACACAAGTGGAATTATACATTATACGCTTAAAAATACTGAACAAAGTAAGCTGTTGCTACACTAGTTAAATAATAAAAATATTTTTCCAATATTGGAATAATCAAAAAGATGAAAAAGAAAAAGACTTTAGTTGTGAGCAATAAATTACATCTATGTTTTACATACTGTAATGGGCACGATATATGAGGCAGTGAATTTTAGGTTTATTTAGTTTATTTTTAGCTTTTCCGAAATATTAGATTAAATTTTAAATATTGTTTTACGTCAGATCAAACCGTACAGCTCCAGGTGCCACGATAATTAATTTTCCGAGAAATTAATTAATTTTAAATTTTTTTGCAGGATGTGCCATTTTTTTTCTTAATTCCTTTAATAACTCCTTAGCTGTAAAGGTTATTAAAGTAAAAGTGTGTTTCTATAAGCTTATTAGCGTAACTGTGATTTCAAAAATGTAATCAGAATTTGTGTGTCTTCTATTGTTTTTGCATGATCGTTGCACTTGTACAGGTTAAGAAATTATTTAATAAATTATAAAAAATAGGAATCTCAATTATCTTAATTATCGGTATTTAATTATTATGGAACCTTTTAAATTGAGATTTGTGGGTATCCTATCTTATAATTATTCTTAACAAAATTTGAATAAAAAATCAAAGACGGTAATTGTATTAAGTGTTAGTTATAAGTTTATTTTTGACTTATATATACTTACTCCATTTGTACCTAATAAGCAACTTTTGGGAATATTATAGACAAATAGGCATATATAAGACTGGGTAGAATTTGCCTAGTTGCAAATTAGTGTTTAAAGAGAGAAGTTTGGGTGGAGGAGATTAATTTCAACGCTTGAGTAAGCAAGTTCATTTTCAACTCTTTAATGATCAATTGATTTTATAAAAATTCAGTTTGGTGAAAGTTTTGTTTGTCTGCGAGGTGTATTTTGTTTATTTTGATATAATAATCTAAGGTCACAACTATCGCAATAAGTGGTTGATTATTTAGTATTTGATTAATTTTGTTATTTATTTCATCTTATTCTTGGCTGCAGAAAAAACTAGCTAAATTTTGTATATTTTTAGTTGTGGTTGAACATACCTAATCACATATTTATTATAATTATTGTTTTATGTTCATTGGTTAATATTTCCATTGTTATGCAATGTTTTTTGTTACTACCTATTTATATTTAACTTTTACATAGGTACTTTATTTTGTGCAGTTTATCTTATTTTATTTATTTGATAAGTTTATTTATTATGTTTAGACTTTGTCTCAACATCTGCGCATCAAATGATATATTTATTTTCTGGTATCTTTGTGAATGGTTTTTATTATTTTTTTATATCTACTTTTATTTATAACTGTACACCAATTTTATTGAAAGTAATATTACTATTGTCCACCGCTGTACCAATTGTTATTTATATATTTTTTTATTTACCAGTGCTATTTATTACGTTGTTGGTGACCTAAATTATACTATACTTTATGTTGCCCATTGTTTTAGTTTGTTTTTGTACATTGATACCTATTTTTTTAATTTGTACTTATAAGTATAATTTGGACTTTACTTTACTTTTATATATTGTTAGAGCCTAAAATTTATTTAGATAATAGATAGAATGTTAGCAATTTGATAATATGATTGATTATAATTAAGTATTATTAATTTCTTTGGTTTTGTTATATTATTTATATTGTTTAGATATGCGACGCATATGGTTGTCTGGATTGTATAAGTGGGTTTTTAAGGTTTAACCTTATTAACTTAAATTGATGTAACCTTTTAAATATAAATGTTTTTTATTTTGTTAATATACAGTATCAATAATAATAATTTTTGTATTGTTTTTCGTAATGAACTTCTTTGTAATTTAATACTTTCAATATCTTTTCAATTGCCTAATCCAGAACCGTATTCACAACAAAAAGGAGTCCCAAATTATTTTTTTTAAACTAGACGATCACGTGTTTTGGCCAGAGGTAGTTTTTGTAGTTTTTTTTTAGTTATTAACTGCAGCCCCACATATTTGAAATTTAATTTTAAAGAAAAATAATAAGAAAGAAATATTAAAAACAATTTTAGAAAACTTAACCTCAAAACCTTAACACTTATCTGTCAAGTTAACAATATCAGCAATAGAATTAAAGTCAAATCATTTCATCACAATTTTATTGAATTACTTTTTATTTTATCAAAGTGTCAGTTACCATAAGCTGCACATGTTAACATAATAGTTATCCCAATTTTGGAATCTAATATTGGTCAGTTGGAATATTTTTATTATTGTAAGCGCCTCTTCTTTTTAATTTGTTACCGATTTATAACGTAAGCGCCTATATGTTCCCGACAAATAATCGTAAGCAACTCCGAGACATGGCGTTTGCGATTTAACAATGTGTCGCTTACGATAATATTGTGCTCCCGCCTTGATCTATCAAGGCGTTATTCCCGCTCTAAACAGTTTATTGGTGAGTATACCTGCATCGTGGTGATTGCTACCAAGTTTTAAAACAATATTTTATTTGATCAAAAGCTTATAATTCGAATTAGGATTCGAAAGGATCCTTTTTTTCATTGCATTATTAATAGTTTTCTAAATTATAACTGTTTTTACGTATTGTGGTTCGTTAAAAGTGTTTTTTGTAGTAATTTTATGTTGTTATAGCGTCAAATAATTTGACTCAAATTTATAACGGTTAGATTATGGTACCATGGGTTAGATCATGGAGCCTACACAAGAAGTCCGAACAAAATGTAAACAAGAATCTTCCTAAGATAAGAGTGCGCTGGTGTTCCGTTTATTCTGAAACAATTGTTTAATTTGTACCGAAACGCTAGCATCGACAATCAGCGCCGCTGGTGGTGAAAAAAAGAAACTTAATTTGTACAATTTAGAGGGCTGCTTTTGTCAATTTCCCCTATTAAGTTCGGGCTCCTTGTGTAGGCTCCATGGGTTAGATACTGGTTTGTGAATAAAAATCGTTCGTTTTTTTCAAAGAAAGCTAATGTAGAATTTCATTTTCAAACATTGTTTGGCAAAATATCGTTGGTGATATTTTATAAATTAATTTTTTTGTATTTTTTTTTTTATTTAATAATAAAAGTAAAAAAATAAATGTCGCTAACGATGTTTTGACAAAAGTAATCATCAAATCTATATCTCACAAAGTAACGTAAATGTAACTTAAGCGACAAGACTAATTTTACATTTTCCTAAAGATGTTCTTATAAAGTATCGTATGCCACAAAATTTAATGAAAACTTTAGATTGGATTCGATCTTACTTAAATATTTGAATTCTACATTAATAAAATAATGCCTCACCAGTTTTAAGATAAATAACTTTAAAAATAAAGCTCCCACGCAAAAAAATCTCTCCTGTAAAATTTAGGTTTTGTCGCTTACGCGTATACGATGTTTTGTCAAATAACCATCGATTTGTTATCAGAGTTAGTTTTTATTTAATTTTTTATTTACTTGCATTCGTGCTACGCTAATTTTATACCAATAAATTTTTGTTTATTCAAAAAAAAAATGTAAAAAAATTCTAAATATATTCTTTGAGTTTTTATATTTTATGACTTTTTTTTTATTCAAAACTTTTTTCGGTTGATTAATAAGTATTTAGTGTACTTTAATATAAAATTTTCAGCTTTAGAAGTCAATCTTATTTTTTTATAAAATATATAAATATTGTAAATGCCAAACATTTATCCGAGATTATAACCTTTTTTTAACTTGTTCTTGGTATACGGATTTTGTAGTATTTTTAAAATAATGCTTTTTATGGATCTGCCATATTTCCCAAAACTTTTTTGTTATTAGGAAAGCAATTTTGATAATATTGGACACTTTTTTGTGGTCAGTTGGCATATTCTGAAGAAAATCCATACCATAATAGCAGTTGTTATGGAAACAAATCAAATAACAAAGCTGACGGTTAACAGATACATTTTTTTACATTTTTGTATTTTTACTATTAAAAAGATGTATTTTTTTTTATTTTAATTAAATGTTCTCAAATAATATAATATGGTTGTAGAGCGTCTTTTTACGTTATTCATGATTTTTTTTAAACGTAATTATGTTATTCCCCATACTTTATTTTACCATGTTAAAATTATTTTAAACACAAAATATATATTATTTACCTAAAAATGCATTCAACTTACTTTCCTTGTAATTTATTTAAATCTTGTTTGAGTAAGTACAACAAGAATTCAGCAAAATTCAAAAAACATTAAGCGTTCCACAAGTAAACAAACTGAACCACGTGCTTTTGCCGTCGCAAAGCGTCGTTGATAGCTTGAGCGCGAGCGTCGGGACGCCGTCTGCCTGTATCGGGTGGACGTCGCGATGCCACTGCAGACGCCGCCGCGGCGCGAAACTGAACACCAACATAACGAAATTTGACGCACGCATGACGAACGCTAAAACGCGAAAAGTTTCGCTATGGGATACCTCTCCCGTGTTATTTCAAGCGGTCCCTCAAGACCGTGCCTATTGAGGTAGGTAGACGTTAATCGTTGTTATTCGTAAGAAAAAACATTAGGGAAAGTTGGCTTCTCAGTTACAATAAAAAAATGAACACACATTTAAACTATGTGGCAAAAACGTTCCCAATTTCGAACCGAAACTAAGTAATAAAAGAAGTAAAGAAGAAAAAATCGTTATACTACAAAACTCGACGTGGTTTTAGATTGTCTAGGATTTTCATCAGTTTTACGCTTTAGTTTATACAATACTTTTAAACAAAATTAAATAGAAAGTGAAAATAATATTTTTATTAAATAAATTCTTCATTGACGTTCTTTAGTTCTTGGTTTATAAGAATTATTTGTAAATTTATAAAAAGCCATTATAATATAAATAAAATATAATGAAAATAGCCACATAAAATCCTTATAAAAATAAGTATAATATAATAATAGTGCATTTTAATTAGATTTATAAAAACCATCGGAAAAAAGCAACTTTTTGATAAAATCAAATGTTGAAGAATCCAAAATCCCAATGGTAATCTGGAAACCTAAAAACATATTAATTGGATGCTATCAAGCGAAATTAGTATTTTTAAATATTTATTAATTTATGTAAACAATACACTGTATTGGCGTGGCAAAAGAAAAGCGACTTCTTTATTTAAAAAAAGTTGTACCTTTAAGGTAAGTTTTAAAAAAATATTTAAAACTGTATTGCAAAAACTTGTAGAAAGAATAAATATGACAAAAGGAGAATATTTTAGCAATTTTGTAAGCATTTTGTTAATTTCAAAGGTTACAGATTATTTTGTTAATGTTTAATAAATTATTTCGTTTAAAAAGTACACGTGATTTCAGACAGTCAATCAAAACATTTCCCACTGACAATACGCATTAACAAGTTCAACTTAAGTTTTTGCTTATTTTAATTTATTTCGTAACGTGTTCGTAACAACTGTCCAGAGTGTTTATAATATATTACCAGAAATCTGTTATTATTGTTATTCGAATTCCTTATCCCTATTTAACGAGTAATAAGTAAGTATTCGAAAAAAGTTGACATCACTGGTTTTCAAACTGAAATTAGGGGATACAGTAAAGTGGATTAAAGTTACAAAATAAATCAGTAAGTGTTGTAGTAGTACTGATAATTATATTGTACCAAATTTCTTTATAATTTAATGATTTCAGAATGGTATTTTATTTAATACAAATACTTAGATAAATACACATATATACACACATATATTTGTACTTAAACTATGGTTGATTTATAATTTAAAAATAAATGTATAAGAACAAAAAAAACAGAACACAAGCATACATTTTTAAAACTATGGTATCTAACATTTTTGAAAATATTCCTGGATGTGGTAGAAACAGTGGTTTGCCAGGAAGTTTTTACATTCATTTTTAAATTTATTCAAATTATTTATTTCTTTAATATTTTCTGGTAAATTATTGTATATTTTGGCTGATGCGTATGAGACCGACCTCTGGAATTTTGTTGTTTTGTGTGCAGTGGACATTATTTTATTTGCATTTCTTGTTGAATACGAGTGAAATTTGTTATTTTTGTCAAACTTTAAATTATTATTTTTAGCAAATAGTATTAGTAGTAATTATGTAGGTACGTGTTAATTTTTTTGTTTAGAAAATTGATTAATAAAGCAACATTTCTTATCAAAATTATTTTCATTTAAGTTCCCAATTTCATACTTTTGTTAATGGGTCTACAAAAAGGTTTGTAAAAATAAGGTCCATTTTGAAAATTACAAGAATTATAGTTGAATTATTGATCTTAGATTTTGTTATTAAATTAACAATTCTTATAATTACAAACTACTTATTCAATTAGTTAACAGATTACAGTTGATTGTAAACAACATAAAGTTATGTGGGTCTGGATTAGCATAAAATTTGGTTAATATTTGGTTAAAATAAACAAATATTTGTTTATTCTGTAAACACATTAATGGTTTAAATAACAAGGGTTTTAAAAAATGGTTTAGATACAATTTATTGAAAATTCTTCTCCTTACATCTAGCAAGTATCTTAGTATCATCAGTTGTTGGGCAAGACCAAAATAATTCTACATTACAATGAAAGAGGACCTGTAAGTAAAATGCCGAAATTAGAAAGGCTTAGGAAAACTACGTTTTGAATATTTTATTGTTTCAACCTTTAAGTACTTCATGAAACTCCATGTCACTAATGTATAACTAGATAAAAACAAGCACTGTTTTGACTTTGACGAATTTATTTCAATTTTATTTTGACAATTGTTTTGCTAATACAGTAGCTTCTTCAGAAATCATTTCTTTTAGGTACTATACTTTATCTACGACTAACACAAAGAAGAATTTAAAGCCAATTTTATTTGTTAAACATTTCACATCCGTCAAATGTCAAATTTAACCATACTTCTCCCCAATTTATAATAAATCTTACTTCAGCACGTGACTAGAACGCCATAAAGTCACATCTTGTCAATGTAGAAGTACGACTTTTATTAGGCACGAACGAAGCTTGCGAGCGAGTGTTTAATAAAAACGAGTGTCTAGAGAAGTTTATAAAACGAGATGCATACTATACTTTATCTACGACGAACAAAAATTGGAATTTAAAGAAAATTTTATTTGTTACACATTTGACATCTGTCAACTGTCAACGGATTTAACCTCACTTAGCATTATTATTAAATGGGAAACTTCAGCCCGTGACTAAAATGCCCAAAAGCCACTGTTTCTAACTTCAGCCCTTGACTAAAACGCGATAAAGTCGCAGCTTATTAATGGAGGAGTAGATAAAATAATTTTTTCTACTCCCACCTTTAAAACTTCCTTTATCGTACATGTTTCCATGAAACTAAGTGACCTTTTAAATACACATTGACAAGTTGTGGCTTTACGGCGCTTTAGTCACGGGCTGAAGTTAGCAACAGGTTTTTAGTCACGGGCTGAAGTTAGTTGACAGTTGTCAAATGTCATACAATCGTTAAAATAAAGTGCCTTTCTTGTAAAATAATACCAAATGTAAAAATTATTTTATTATCTCAATACAAAAATACAAAAATATTAAATAGTTTCTCAACGCCAATATTTGAAAAGTTTATATGAACATTGTACTGACCTTTTAATTTCGCCGGCAGTAAACTATAACTTAAATTCGGGCACGGACTCTACTCCTCATAAAACACTTCCTTTACTTTCACTGTGAAAAACTGTCAATTTTCAATATACATTTTGATTTATAACCTTTATAATTGTGTTTATAAAATGTAAAAATGTGACAATTGACAGTTTCCCCTGTTGTTTCATAGATGGCGCTCTATACAAATTTTTGATTTAAATCATTTTAAGATTATAATAAGTATTTTTCGGAGAAAAAGTATAGTATGCACCTCGTTTATAAACTTTTCTATACACTCATTAATTTAAGAACTCGCTCGTGTATAAAATGGCGTTTATCAAACTTGATACATAATATACTATTTACATTTAGTATTATTTTACAATAAGGGCACTTTATTTTAAAGATTTTATGACATTTGACAACTGCCAACTAACTTAAAACTAACTTAAGCCCCTGACAATTGAGCCCGTGACTAAAAGGCTATAAAGCCACAACCTGTCAATGTGTATTTAAAAGGTCACTTAGTGTCGTGGAAACATGTACAATAATGGGCGTTTTAAAGGTGGAAGTAGGAAAAAATGTTTTGTTATACTTTACAAAATAAGGAAAAATACATTTGGTAGGATATTTAAAAGGACTATTTCGTATTAGATTTTCTTCTAAATAGTTGCTTTGGTTTGTCCAATAATTATAATTGGAAGTGGGTTAAAATTATATTACAAAATTTTATTTTCAGGCAGCAGTAAAACTTAATAAAATTTGATTATTTGTTAAGTAAAATCCCGGCGCATTCGCCATTTTTGTAAGTTTGTATTTATTATTGTTTGAGGCAAAACTCGCCAAACCTGACACCTATCTGCCTCGACATTAGCGAACATATGACCAAATTTGAAACAGTTGTATATACGGGGTATATACTCGTACCTCAATATTTATCAAATTGAGTGACGCGTTTCCTATATACAGAGCGTTAAAGTGGGCCAGTCAGGGTTTACAGTGGTTTAGTAATTAGCTTATATAGTCGTCGCGGCGAATGTTTCAAATTGCGTTATCAATGTCTGTGCTTGGTTCAGAATTTGATGACGCAATTTTATACATTCGCCGCGACAACTACATATATCTAATATTAATCAATTTTAAAAAACAAAAACTTTGTGCTGTATCTTTAAAAAACTTAACCTCAAAGTTTTGTCAAAAAATAAATATTGATTTTTTCTCAAAAAAAAACTTTTTTATTTTATTTTTTTTTGCGTGGTTTTAGGATTAAAATATCCCAAGCCGATTCCCATATAGCCTGGGATAAAAGAAGCCATGACCACCTCAAAGAGTGATCGTGTTATTAAAATATGAAGTTATGTTTTTAAAAGATATAAAAAAATTAAGTAGGCCCTAATGTACAGCATAAAAATGTATGTATCAAGTTTGATAAACGCTATTTTAGAAACGAGCAAGCTTGCAAGCGAGTGCTTTATTAAATAAAAAGAAAAGTTTAGGTATAAACGAGTTGCATAATATACTTTTTTTACGATAAATATTAATTATTATCTGAAAATGATTTACATTAAATATTTGTACAGAGTGGCATCTATAAAACAATAGAGTAAATAGTGTAAATCGAAATATATTCCTTGAAAATGGACCGGTTAATCCGACATAGAAGCAGTTTTTCAAAGTAACAGTAGAGAAAATGTTGTATTGTCACCACCTAAAATTATGTTACATCTAGTTTACTGCCGGCG